TGAATGAGATTAGGTGCATGGTTGAGGGATATGCCTATGACTATATTTTGTATAAATTAAAGTACCGAGAAAATAGACAGCACTATCAACCTAGCGCCCGTTGTATCCTTCCTCAACGGGCCATTTTTCTCGTTAAATCAGATTTTGATAGTTTTCGCCTTTTTACACCTTCCTACTTTATCGTAACAGGAATATAAAGGATGTAATCGTGCAAAAAAATGTAATCGAAATTTGACAAATATTGACGTTTCATAACCTTCCGGAGTTGGAAAAAACTTAATTTCACAATCCTGTCCGTCATTGCGTGTGTGAGTTTTTATGTACCATTGGGTGATTTCCGGTATGAGGGGGGGGGGGGAGGGTGCAAATCAAAAGTGTGAGGGGGGGGTGCATATCGAAAATTGAAAGTTTGTCCCGGGAAGAGTCGTTACGCCTCTGGGGGGGGGGGGGGTGACACCATTAAGTGCCGCACCGGGTGACACCCGACCTTGCTACACCACTGCTGTTTCCGTTAGGTAAGCGAACTTTTATACAGAGGTATAAGATCTTATTCTCTTGACTCTATCAAATTTGGATTGATTACCGGTGACCGGAAGTAGTTTTTTTTTTACGCCATTTTGGATTTCTCGAAAATATCAAAACTCAACGGCATTGCACAGTGACATAAAATGTTACTTAATTAAATATTTAATTAACATTTAAACAATTTATCAAAGTTTCCTTTATAAAGTAGGCACTACTAGTTTTCCGCTCAATTATACCCACATTGTTTACCTTCATTTGGTGCGCAATTCTCTTTTCCCATCCTATTCTTTTCTTAGAAAAAAAAACTTAGTATCAACGAAATCAATATAAAAATAATCGCAATTGTCAGTATGGAAATTGCGCTAAAAAGTCTATAACACGATTGCACTGAAAATGCCCTCCCCCTTGTTGTATAAGGATATGTGAGACAGTTTAGGGGAGATCATTCCCGATTTATTTTACTTCTATTTATTTTCCACTTTTTCAAAGTACTTTGTTTGGTTTCCGGTAAATCTTTCGGTTTTCAACTTCCGGGTTCGTTTTTTTTTCTTTAAATAATAATGTATTTCACTTTGGTAGTGATTGATTCAATCCGTATTTTTTAATCAGCTATTAAGGAATCTGTAAAACAATGTCGCTATCAAATGTTTTGCTGTATATATATATATATTGACACGTTTTAACTGATTATTTGTACATGGATGATAATATGAGATAATAAAAATAATTCAAACACAGCTATAGTATATAGATATTTTAAAAACAGCCATTTAGGCAAAGATGAATAGTAAATAAATTTTGCGTTCATTTTTTTTCATTTTATATTCGGCTGAGAAAACATCTTTCATCGAGTTAAATAAAAAAAGATATAATGCTTAAGAAAAGTATTGATATTTCATAACTTACCTGAAAACTACAGAGATTGTACAATTATCCAGATATTCTGTAGAATGTCTCGGTTTCATACATTCCCGGTAACATAAACAATAACTAACTCGCACTCAAGATGAAACATGTTCCTATGCAAAGCAAGTTCCTTTCATACGTCAGATTTCATGCAGGGAGGTGGACTTGTTACACTCCTCCATTTTGTTGATAGGAAATTTTATTTAATATAAAAACCGAGACAACATAGTGTCAGAACCATGGAGGAAGGTTTTTAAACATGGATGGGGATAGATAGTGATAGGGGGGTCTAGCAAGAGGCGGAGATAGGGGAGGTGGGGGTGGTGTGACCACTGACCTTATGGGGGCGCCGAAAGTGGAGAAATAAAAGCCATTTGTGTTTTTAATTGCATACCGTCAAAGACAAGAAAATGGAACGTTGCTTGGATTTACAGACTGAATTATCATGTGTCTACATCAACTGCGTGACAGCACAATAAGTGTGTGGTAAAAAGCCCATATATATATATATATATATATATATATATATATATATATATATATATATATATATATATATATATATATATATATATATATATATATATAAGGGAAGGGGGAAGGTGAGTGCCAAAATTAATGGTTTGCCCCTGGCGTTGGAAAGAGTTGCTACGCCTCTGTGTCCAGCGTGAACAATACTAGACGGAACAATCTCAACAAAACATCTTAGAGCATCCACGTCCATCACTGGTACTTGCTGAGGTTCTAGACTAATCTATGCGTGTGGTCTTGTACCCTCTTACACTGACTAGGGCTAATGTAGAAGGCTGGGTTGGTGGGACTCAGCAGCATAACCACAGGGGCGAGAGCTCATCGAATTGTTTGGTTCTAATGTACAAGGTTACTTTGTGTATGAGTTTGACATGGCAACGGTTTACATTGCATAATAAGAAGGGTGGTGGTGGTTGGGGGGAAGGGGGGATTGTTGAAGTTACTTAAACAATAGCTGAGATTAAGTTTAAATTACACAATTAATATATTAACCACGGTGTACTGTTAATATAACCACGTACATGATTGTTTGAATTTAACACATCGAAAGGCAGATAATCGTTGGTTTTTAAATAATAAAAAACAATTTCGGTTATTTCCCCTATAGTTCTACACAACTTGGTGTTTTCTGTAACCTACAAGAGACGGCCGGAGTTAGGAAAAGGCAGATTTGTTAAAATGTTGTTCTTTAAGGGGTGGGGGAGAGGTAGGATTGGTTGTGTTGTGATTGAACACAGTAGCGGGCTACGTAAAAACAAGAGAAGACAACAGAAGCCGTTATTTTATGGAAAATCTCTTTATTATTAGATCTTGTAGAGCGTGACACTATGTGAACATATGTACATATGTATGACACTGGTTACCATGTGTACATTTGTACGTGTACATCTGTATGACACTCGTTAATATGTGTACATGTAAAAATGTGTATGACAACAGTTTATTGTTGGTCAGTTGATTCTTATTTTCACAGGGATTAAATCCATAGATATTCGACACTCCACACATCCACACGTGCAGCCCACATACCCACACCACACATCCACATTATACATCCACCCCACACATCCACGCCACACATCCACATCACACATCTTCATCACACATCCACATTATACATCCACCCCACACACCCACACCACACATCCACATCACACGTCCACATCACACATCCACACCACGCATCCACACCACGCATGCACGGCAAGCAACCACCCAAACCAACCACCCCCACACATTCTGCTATCAGTGACATTATTTAGTTCGCCTGTCACACATAGTTCACCAACACCAACACCAACATCAGTGTTGTTTACATATGATCAGCTGTTTGTATACATTTTAAAAGGACAACGTTGAGATCACTGGTCAATTTTTAAAATAAGTCATCGTTTTGTAGGTCCAGTGGTCATTTATTACATCGTCAGTAAAAGTAAGTTAAGTTTCGTTTTTAAAACGGACGGTCCAAGGAGCAAGTGAAGTAGAGTTAACCTGCTTCTGTGACCCCGGAATATGGTGTAATCAGCACTATCCCCAGCCGCTTTTACTTTCCCCAACGTGAGTTACGTACCCATCAGATCTGGGTGGACTCAGGGACGTTCTTCTGACTTGAACCCTGATTCGAACTCTAGAATCGGATCTGGCGCTCTACCGCTAGGCCACGATGTCACTCAAAACATTGTCAGTTACTTTATGTTAGTCAGTATTATGTCAGTAGTCACCTACATAGTCAGTGGTCATCTATTACATCGTCAGTCATCTATGTGTTAGTCAGTATTACGTCAGTAGTCACCTACATAGTGGTCATATATTACATAATCAGTCATCTATATGTAAGTCAGTATTAGGTAAGGGGACCGTACCATCACCACTTATTCAACTACACGCTATGTAAGACGTCGCTATCTACAGTAACAAACAACTGGACAAAAAATGCTGATGATGTGTTAGCTACCAGAGTTGAAAAAAACAACATGTAAGATAATAGTAGACACAGCTAGTCATTGCCACAATAGGAATCTGTGTAAGGTCTCAGGTTCAAAACCTTCACAAGCCGAGTTGTTAGATGTAAAATAGAAAAACCCGGTTGATTCGGACCTTTCAAAATTAAAGTTTTAGATGTAGAATATAACAACCCAGCTGATTGGGGCCCTTCATTTCTAAGACCACAGTGACGGTAATAACTGATTTACGTAGTTTTCAAAGAGTTTTGAAAATAACAAGCAGTAAAGTTTTAAATGAATGAAGTAAATTAATCCTACGTTTGAGTTTACAAAATATGCCACAATTTACAAGAAACTGGGCATTACAATGTTTTAATTCTAAAACTTATTTCAATATTTTCTTATTATCGACCAGAAAAACAACTCTTAAAACAACCTTTTGAAATAAATAATAACTAGATTATTTCCCTTGGATCGTGGTTAGAAAAACATAACAATCATAACTTTAGGCCCTTAATAAAATTTGAATTACTTCCCTTTCATTTTGATGAGTAACAAATGTGTCGCCGTGTTTCTGATATTTTTAAGAATCAGTGGCTGCTTAAAGCGTCACAGCACGTCACAAAATGGTTGGTGCAACTCTTCTTTTACCCCGCCTGTTCCTAGGGGACGGAAACATTTTAAATTCGCAGAATCTAACCATTTCTATAACCGTTAAGTAACTATCAGCAAAAGCCTCACCCTTTCCCTCCACAACCCCACCCCCCTCCCCTAACCTCTATTTTCTGATGTCTAGAATATTTAAATGCACCCCTTAAAAACAACTCCTTATCCGCCTTTAGGGTTAGGGTTAGAGTTGGGGATAAAGGTGGGGAGGCGGGGGGGGGGGGAGGGAGTAGGCGGTGGCTAACTTTTTTTGGCGGGGCTTATCTGGAAAAGATCCGGGTACTAACCCACCCCCCACCCCCCCCCCCCCCCCCCCCCCCACAGGAATGTTGTGCACGAGATGACATTGTCACCGGCACAGCAGAAAATCCGCGTCGGGCATTTAAGAGTTTTACCGTAAACAGACTGAAAATTGCACGTTTTAAAATAAGACTAGTATTAGAGTTTTACCGTGACCAGACTGCAAATTGCACATTTCAAAACAAGACAAATATTAGAGTTTTACCTTGAATCCTTTTCAAAACAAGACAAATATTAGAGTTTTACCGTAAACAGAATCCATATTGCACGTTTCAAAACAAGACGTGTTTATCCTAGTCATTATCTACAGCTAACATAATAAATACTACCATTATCATCTCACGCTATGTACACATGATAAATATCAACAATAAGTAGCTATCTTTCATAAATATAAATCACCAATGTTGATCGTTTATGTACAAATAAATAAATTCTATCATCTATCAGAGCAATGTCAAGCAGTCGGACTATTTCACCTCTCGCATGTACACAACCCCTACCCCCTTCTCTCTCTCACGACGGGGAAGCCAAGGGTTTGTTGAAGAACCCAACGCTGACATGTTCAAAGACAAGCGGAGTAATCTCACTGCTGGCACTACTTTCATCGTCCTCCTCCTCCTCCCGCCCCTCTTTACTCCCCGCGTCATCCTCCTCTTGAACCATGTCCTCACCGCCGCCATCTTCAACCTCCTCCGTGACCCTGAACTTGGAAATATCCGGACAACTCCCGAACGAGGCGTGTCTGCAGGGGGAGAGGGGGAGGTGGAGGGCGGCGGAGCCCGGCCAGGAGAATCCCAACTTCCGGAGTTCCGTCTCGAACTGGGTCAGTTGCATCATGAAGTTGGCGTTGGGCGAGATCACGTGACGACGGGATTTGACGTAGGTGTAGGCGTCGTCCAGGTGCAGGTGGCGTGAGTACATCAGGTAGGCCAAGCAGACGGTCGCTGAGCGACTGATGCCGCCGTGACAGTGGACCAGGACCTTGCCGCCCGACCGTCGCTCGTTTTCTGTGGGGGGTGGGGGAGAGAAAGGTTGTTTAGTTAGGGAGTGGTGTGTGAACATTGGTGTGGGGAGCTTAGGGTATGGTGTGTAAAGATTGTGGAGTGTATGGAATGGTGTGTAAACTTTGGTAGAGAATGGTGTGTAAACTTTGTTAGGGAATGGTGTGTGAATTTTGGTAGGGAATGGTGTGTGAATTTTGGTAGGGAATGGTGTGTAAACTTTGGTAGGGCATATTGTGTGAATTTTGGTAGGGAATGGTGTGTGAATTTTGGTAGGGAATGGTGTGTGAATTTGGGTAGGGAATGGTGTGTTAACTTTGGTAGGGAATGGTGTGTGAACTTTGGTAGGGAATGGTGAGTGAATTTTGGTAGGGAATGGTGTGTGAATTTTGGTAGGGAATGGTGTGTTAACTTTGGTAGGGAATGGTGTGTGAACTTTGGTAGGGAATAGTGTGTACATTTTGGTAGGGAATGGTGTGTGAATTTTGGTAGGGAATGGTGTGTGAACTTTGGTAGGGAATGGTGTGTAAACTTTGGTAGGGAATGGTGTGTGAATTTTGGTAGGGAATGGTGTGTGAATTTTGGTAGGGAATGGTGTGTGAACTGTGGTAGGGAATGGTGTGTGAACTTTGGTAGGGAATGGTGTGTAAACTTTGGTAAGGAATGATGTGTAAACTTTGGTAGGGAATGAAATGTGAACTAGTGGTAGGGAATGGTGTGTAAACGTTGGTAGGAAATGGTGTTTGAAATTCGTTCAGTGTGGGGACTCGTGTGTAAAATTTGGTGAGTAGAATTGTGTTGTTGGAAACTTTGTTTTGTAAATTTTGGGAACTGATATGTAACAACATTAGTATAAAACACGACTTCTAATGCACAATGTCATCGAAATCTACCCCCCCCCCCCCAACTAAACACCGAAACACATCCCCACACAGAACCCCCTCCATCTCCCCCCCCCCCCCCGAAAAAAAAACCCACACACATCCCCACACTCTAACTCAAAAGTTACAAATACATTACCATCTAGTATAACGATAGGAACTCATTAAATATGAATTAAAACTAATAAAGTGTAGTGTGTTCTTAGCAGTTCTACTCCTCTATGTACAAGTATCCCCAGTAGAGATAGAGTAACTTCCCTTGAGTAACGACGGTGTGCGAGACATTTTTTTAACGCCATTGTTGTCCTTGTGGCATAAACTATTGAATTATTTAACATGTAAAAACAGGGATTCTACTTGGGTGTATTTAAATATTATTACATAACACACATTCTAAAAGGATTGTGAAATAACTAAAAACAAATTGTCCGCATTTCATCTGAGAGATAAAACAATTAAAACGTTTTGTAATCAAAACGTTTAAGCACGTGACATTTTAAATCATTTAACCGGCTTGTACTTATATTTTCTAAAAAAAAAAAAAAATTTTAATGACAATTTAATGACAATTTGTGAAGATTTTAAACGGACACTAAACTCATAAAATCTTGATACTGAATGCCTTTATAACAATACGGATCAAACATTTTAGTAAAAGGGCTAGGTGAACTAGCTTGGGGGTGGGGGGGGGGGGTAGATAAAATCCTCCTTGGTCAGCCCATTGATGAATAAACAATTATTCAGAAAAATTTAAGATCAAAATATGTACTCTATAATGCATAAGTATTACAAATGTATGCGAAACCTAGCTTGGGCCTACATTTTGTTTACAATAAAATTTCCCACCCCTACATCATCCTCCCCACCCACTACATCAGCCCATGTTACGCCACCCACATCAATAGTTCTTACAACACCTGCGGACATAGACCGGGATTGGTTAAAGTTTTCTGTCCTGATTAAGTTTAAAATCTTCCCTTTATGGGCATCAATGTAAATCTAGTGTTATTATTGTTTTTTTTTATTTCAATAAATAGCGTGTTAAAAACTTTATACTTTTTTACTTTCTCGTATATACGAAGTATAGAGAAAGTCTTGTAATTGTGCAAAAAAAAATCGAGAGACGTTTTACACATCGCTGATACGGAAAAACATAATTTTGCAATCTTGTCCGTATGTCTGTGTGTGTGTCTGTCTGTCTGTCTGTCTGTCTGTGTGTAAACACGATTACTTGAGTACCGTTACAGCTAGGTTGATGAAATTTCATATATAAGTATTTTATCAAAACCGTAGATCCGTATCAACTTTTGAGCGATTTCCGATAACCGGAAGTGGTACTTTTTCTACTTTGATTTTTCAAAAGCTTATAACTTGAGTACTATTTCACGTAGATTAATGAAATTTCACATGTAAGTAAAAGATCTAATTCTCTACCTTCTTTCAAATTTTGAGTAATTTCCGTTGAACAGAAGTATTAATTTACGCTATTTCCGATTTCTCAAAAAGCTAATGTAAATTTTTAAAGTAGGTACTAATAATATTGCGCACTATTATGCACTTTTTTATTTGGCGTTCACTTGATGTGCAATTCTTTTGTCTACGAGATTTTATTCTATTTTTAAAACTTTAAGTATTTAAAATTGATTAAAAATCATGTCTATAGCCCGAATTCCCATCCCCTGTTATTTTATATAAGAATATTCGAGAAAGTTTAGGGGAGATCACTCCCGGTTTATTTTTCAATAAACTCAATGTCTGCCCCGTTGTATTAGGTAGATCTACCAGCTAAACAATACTCTCAAACTTTCTCGTCCCTTCATCTCTAAGCAACTGTCTCTTACTAAAACCTCCCGCCTGTTTTAGAAAACCAACTAAAACTCTCCAAATAGCCTTTCTTTAAACAGGTTGGAAAGGGGGTGCCATCCTTATAATGTGTTATATATAAATCTGAGGACTATGGTTATTTAATATACCGCTGTAAGGTAAAAATTGACAGGGTGTTTTGTCTTAGATGATCGCAAATTCCCTCAACCCACGTGATCGCTAGTTCCCCCAACCCACACGCTCAAAATGGTACCATATACCTAAACCTTGCTGAAAGTTTAAAACTTAACCTGGCTAGTAAATGGAGTTTAACACGGAGCCTGACTAATAAATAGAGGGTAAAATGCGAGCCCAGTTTAACACGGAGCCTGACTAATAAATAGAGGGTAAAATGCGAGCCCAGTATAACACCGAGCCTGGCTAGCAAATGGAGGGTAAAATGCGAGCCCAGACTGACCAATAAACAAAATGGCGTCCTGAAACCACTCAAGCAGATTGGCGTTGTTCGAATCCTCCACGGGGATGACCTTGTACCGGAAGTCGGAGGGGAAGTGGTTCTCACAGGAAGTCGAGACGTTCAAGATGGCGGTGATTTTAAAATCCTGGAGCAGCTCTTTCCTAGAGGAGTGGCCAGCGTCTCCGATGTACAGGTAGGGTAGGAGCTCCACGGGGACAAGCTGGGGGGGGGGGGGGGGAGAGAAGAGAGTGTTATTTTTGGGTGGGGCAGAGGTGGTAGAGGTGTGAGAGAAGGTGTGTGACAAGTGGGACAGAAGAGGTGTGACAGATGAGGTGTGACAGGTGAGGTGTGACATGTGTGACAGGTGAGGTGTGACAAAAGAGGTGTGACAGGTGTGACAAAAGATGTGTGACATGTGTGTCAGTAGAGGTGTGACAGGTGTGGTGTGACAGAAGAGGTGTGACAGGTGTGGTGTGGCAGAAGAGGTGTGACAGGTGTGACATGTGTAACAGGTGTGACATGTGTGACAGGTGTGACATGTGTGACATGTGTGACAGAAGAGGTGTGACAGGTGTGACAGGTGTGACAGGTGTGACATGTGTGACAGGTGTGACATGTGTGACATGTGTGACAGAAGAGGTGTGACAGAAGAGGTGTGACAAGTGTGACAAAAGAGGTGTGACAGGTGTGACAGAAGAGGTGTGACAGGTGTGACATGTGTAACAGGTGAGGTGTGACAAAAGAGGTGTGACAGGTGTGACAGAAGAGGTGTGACAGGTGTGACATGTGTGACAGGTGAGGTGTGACAGAAGAGGTGTGACAGGAGTGACAGAAGAGGTGTGACAGGTGTGACATGTGTGACAGAAGAGGTGTGACAGAAGAGGTGTGACAAGTGTGACAAAAGAGGTGTGACAGGTGTGACAGAAGAGGTGTGACAGGTGTGACATGTGTAACAGGTGAGGTGTGACAAAAGAGGTGTGACAGGTGTGACAGAAGAGGTATGACAGGTGTGACATGTGTGACATGTGTGACAGAAGAGGTGTGACAGAAGAGGTGTGACAAGTGTGACAGAAGAGGTGTGACAGAAGAGGTGTGACAAGTGTGACAGAAGAGGTGTGACAGAAGAGGTGTGACAGGTGTGACAGGTGAGGTGTGACAGGTGTGACAGAAGATTATGACAGGTATGACAGAACAGGTGTGACAGAAGACGTGTGACAGAAGGAGTAAAACATGAAATGTATCTCAGACAACATATGAACGGTTTTATTATTAGAAAAGTATGTATGATGAAAAATAAATATTGAATTGAACATAGAATATTTAACACAAACTCAAACTCTCGAACAAAAGGCCATATCGTGATTGTATCTGATACTTCTTACAAACAGATTCGCGAGAATACAAAGTGAACACTTGTGTTTCATTCATGCAATGTAAACTATAGGGCTGGTAAGTAGGTCAATAAACAGTTGTCCTGTTGGCTCATGCAGGTTTTATTGAGCCGTAGAACTGGTTAGCTACCTACTTACCAGCCCTATACTAGTAGAGCTTATGCTATTTTTATATTCTCGGAGTGGGTTAAATGACGTCACGCAATTCTAGCCTAGTTGTACTTATCTTTTTCCCCAATCTCTTACCCCCCCCCCCCCAACTCGTCTCTGACGTCACCACATTAAAGCCAGAAGCCTCCAAAACGACATCACAAATTTGGAAACTCCCCCCCCCCCCCCCCCTACGACACTCCCATTAAATAACACCTAACTAAAATGAACGCGGTGTTGGTTTTTTTTTCTTACTTTGAGAGATGTCTTCTACGTCACAACCCCCCCCCCCCCATTCATTTATGGGACGTTGTGGCCTGGAGGTAGAGTGCTTGACTGCTAACCCGAAGATCTAACTTTAGACGTTTCTGAGTCCACCCAGCTCTAATGGGTGCCTGAATCACGTTAGGGAACTTACAGGCGGCTGACCACAATATCCCCACACACGTTGTGGTCACAGAAACAGATGAACTCTACTTCATCTGCCCTACTGACCATTGGTTAAAACTGTACATTATTTGTACTAATTGACAAACTGAAATGTATAAACCACTTTCTAGGCCCCGGGTATAAAAAATATTCGAGAATAATTAGAATTTAAAAAAAATTAAAAGCCTATCGACAGCTAATGAGAGACGTGGTCAAAGAAACAACGCATTGTTTCAAATAATAAATCGAAGCACTGATGCTTATCCAAACAAAATGTAAACAGATATTCTAATGATACTAAAAAACAGACAGACCGATAGAAAGGCAGTTAGACAGAGCAACAGAGACAGACAGGCCGATAGACGGATAGACGGACAGAGGAAGAGAGAGAATGACAGATGAACGGACGGACGAACAGAGAAACGGATTGTCAGACAGACGAATGGAGGGACCGATAGACTGAAGGACAGACTGACAAACGGACAAATAAACAAACAGACAGACTGGCAAAGGAACAGACACACAGACGAACTGAAAGACAGAGAAAGAGACAGACTGACAAACAGACAGACAGACGGGCCAAGGAACAGACAGACAGACGGACAGACGGACAGACGAACGGAAGGACGGACCGACGAACGGACGGATAGACTGATGGACAGACAGACAGACGGACATACAGACAGACAGACAGACGGGTAAAGGCACAGACAAACAGACAGACAGACAGACAGACATACAGACAGACAGACAGACAGACAGACAGACAGACAGACAGACAGACAGACAGACAGACAGACAGACAGACAGACAGACAGACAAACAGCCAGACGAACATACACTCACAGAGAGCACCCTGTGTGAGCTGGCCGAGCTGAAGTGGAAGGTGGTGAGGGCGCCCGTGCTCTGGCCGAGGGTGTGCTGGGGTGAGCCGGTCCTCTTGACGTGACGTAGCTGCCCAGACAGGGACGTGTGGGTGGAGCAGAGCCGGGGGAACTCGTGCCGGAACCGGCAGTAGCCACCTGCAAAACAGGGGATTCGATTAGCAGACAGCCGGGGGGGGGATGGGGGAGGGGGTGGGGAGGTGAGGGGTGGGGGCGTGAGGGGTGAGGGTGCGGGGCGTGAGGGATGGGAGAGAATATTTAGTTCGTACTCGATAACCTCGGGTAAGTTTACCCAATATAGGGCCGCGCGTGATTTTTTTGGCTGTACAAGATGTAGGGCTGGGGACTTCGAGGTGATGTTTTTTTTTATTTGAAGTACAAGAAGGTTGGAGTACACACAAAAAAGTTTTTTTATCAGTTGGTATCGCACATAAGGGGATATGCGCAAATTTTTCCCTATTTTTTTACAATTTTAATACCTAAAGCCTTTTGAATACTTTTGTCATGTTTGGCATATGAAAGTAAGTATTAAACAGCAAAAAAAGGGTTGAAAACAATTTTGGTTGTCATGGAAACCCAAAAAAAACCTCCGCCATTTTGAATTTTTTTTGTACTTTTAAAAATGGTAAGGCTTTTTTATTTATGAACCTATAGCAATCAAATTTAAACTGCTTATATTTCAATATATATTAAAACTTTTGTCACGAAAACTTTTTGAAATAGCTACTATTAAGAATTTTACAAAGTCTAAAATATCATACCATTTTTAGTGTTCAAAAGTTTTAAAATTTGCATATTAATTACCAAATACTTTTTTTCTATGAAAGCCATCACAATTCCCTCGTGACAAAAGGTGTATTTTTGCATGAAGAACAATTACTGAAAATATGGTGGCGATTGTTTAATTAATAAAAGTAGTAGGCTTTATAGTGTTAAAAACCTTCGAACTGAGAAAAACAGCCAAAAGTAACTAAAAGAAGGTCACAAAAATACCATATCTGTATAAACTGCAAAGGCGAATGTAAGCTTTAGGTGTTTCCGAGATGATGGAAATTAAGATTATCAAATAAAGGAGAAATCCAGCTTTCCAACGATGCCAAATACAATATGATGACAGATATAAAACTTTTCATAGAGAGCGTGTAAGATTGGGAAAAATTGATTATTTTTTAATTAATAGGGTCATAAAAAGGTAATTTAAACACGTACATTTTTTTTTCTCTTTAAAGTTATTATTTTCTTAATACAAAAATGGACAAAGTATCCAAAAAGCAAGAAACCCATCTCCTCCGTCCCCCCCCCCCCCCCCACACACACACCCAAACACATCTCGATGGTACCGGACATCGGACCAGCAATCCAAGATTTGACTCTCTGTATCGCAACTGAGACGGCAAATGATCAGTGGTCATGTTGAGATATCAGCAATCGCTTCCACTTGAGGGTTTTACTTGATGCATCCACTTGATGTTTTAGTTTGATGTTCTCAGTTAATTATCCACTTGCTATTTTTACTTGATGTATCCACTTGATGTATCCACTTGATGTATCCACTTCATGATCCACCATCAAGCTTAACTCTCCTACCCCTGCTCTTGAGATACATCCACTCAACATCCAATCCAGAGCATACGGTGTATGCTGCTGTTACTGAATGCTTCAGCTAGATCTGTCTACCACACGATCCATTGTTTTACTCAACCCTCCCATTTATTGCTCGGTTCAAATTAATTTTTAAAACACTGAAAGATTGCGCAATTACAAAAACCTTGTATTCTAATGTTGTCGAACTCGAAACTTAAGCATTTTAAAAAAAAAGTAAACAACGCGAAACCATAATAAAAGTCAACGGCAAAATATTAACAATACCGAACCGTTAACGATGTCAAAAAATTAACAAAGCCAAAAAATTTACGAACTCGATATTTTTAAAAAATTGTAAAACTCACTAGTTTGAATTACAGTAAGCAGAAGCTATACACCTCAGACCACAGACAAGCTAATCGATTCACACAGTCAGCCACCAGACTTGAGAATTATTTATCAAGTAACATGAGACACCAAACGTGTTGCTAATAGCAGTTTAAAACAAAGGACTGTCCTACAGCCTCTCTCTGTAGTATTCGTGCATTGTGGGTAAGGGTCATCCATAAATGACGTCAGGCTTTGTTTTTGTTGTTTTTTTTTTTTTTTTGACGATTTTTACCTCCCCAACACATCGTCACAAAAAAGCCAGACCCTAATGCTGAAGTGCCGTCACTGTCAGCCTACAACCTTCCCCCCCCCTTTCCTCCCCTCTGCACAATTTTTCGGTAAAAATAGAGTGTATTAATCAATTTCTATTACAACTTGCATTGACTTACAAAAAACAGTTTTCTACAATGCGAAAAAAAAAAACAGCTAAAATTCCGTTTCTAACATTGCTAGTTCAAAAGCAAAAGTGTGACGTCACACTATCTTACCCCCCCCCCCCCCCTCTCCTCCCCCTTATCCCCTTATCACATATCGTCACAAAACTACAAACTCCCCTTTAGGAGCTTGACGTCATTTATTTACGACCCTCAGGTATCTATAAATAGATAAACGATCCAATCAAATTCAACTTTTTCATTTCCTTTACTAATCCTCTTTTCTACAAGTATAAGATTTAGTTGTCCTATATCAAGAACACCCAGAGTTTTTGTTTTTGACAGACATTCTCCAGATTTAGCATCTTGTTGTGCCCATTTAAATACAAGCCAAATGTGGAAATGTTTGGCCGGGATATCAAGGTAAATCTGGCAACTTTTGACTGAACAAACGACATCTGATATCACATCAGTTGAAATCTATGTTTCCCTTAGTCTTTTTTCTCCGGGGAATAGGGGAGGGGAACGGCGGAGAGGACTTGAAACTTTCAGGGGGGGGGGGGGGTGGTCCAAGTGCTTTGGACTGCTAAACTTGATGTTCTCTAAATGACAACTCCCATAGACACGTACCACACACATATGCACACACACACACACACACACACACTACACATACATGACACATGTGTGTACTGTACTACTCGCTCACTACGGATATCGACACGCATACAAATCCCATGTGTGCCGCCAAAAAACCAGAATGGGCCCCCAGTCTATACAATGTGAAGGAGGAAAACAACATGATATGGGCCCCCAGTCTATACAATGTGAAGGACGAAAACAACAATATAAGGGCCCCCAGTCTATACAATGTGAAGGAGGAAAACAACATGATATGGGCCCCCAGTCTATACAATGTGAAGGACGAAAACAACAATATAAGGGCCCCCAGTCTGTACAATGTGAAGGACGAAAACAACATGATATGTTCCCCCAGTTTATACAATGTGAAGGAGGAAAACAACATGATATGTTCCCCCAGTTTATACAATGTGAAGGACGAAAACAACATGATATGTTCCCCCAGTTTATACAATGTGAAGGAGGAAAACAACATGATATGTTCCCCCAGTTTATACAATGTGAAGGAGGAAAACAACATGATATGGGCCCCCAGTTTATACAATGTGAAGGAGGAAAACAACATGATATGGGCCCCCAGTCTATACAATGTGAAGGAGGAAAACTACAATATAAGGGCCCCCAGTCTATAAAATGTGAAGGAGAAAAAGAACATATGGGCCCCCAGTTTATACAATGTGAAGGAGGAAAACAACATGATATAGGCCCCCAGTTTATACAATGTGAAGGAGGAAAACAACATGATATAGGCCCCCAGTTTATACAATGTGAAGGAGGAAAACAACATGATATGGGCCCCCAGTCTATACAATGTGGAGAAAGAAAACTAATGATATGAGCCCCCCAGTCTATACGATGTGAAGGAGGAAAACAATTTAAGGGCCCCAGTCTATAAAATGTGAAGAACGAAAACCATGAAATGGGGGACCCAGTCTATACAATGTGAAGGACAAATTATATGACCTCAGACAGACACCTGATTCAAAGGGCCCCCTCTCTACAGAATGCGGACACGTCTTGACGTCATACAGGCACCTGCTCCAGCCGCTACGGCTTTTAACTTTAGACCGGCACCATTTTCTCCTAGGCGGGTGACAACACATCGATCAGCTGATTGGAAGCTCACGTGACATCCGCCCACACCTGACCTAGTTTGTCTAGCCCTGGCCTCAATAATTTCATTCACTGGTCAGACAAATCGGGCAGTTTTTTTTTTTGTCTTTCTACATGACTAGTGGCGATGTTTATAGCACTGGGCAGACACCAAACCAGGGGTCCTACCATCAGCTTAGAGGGGGGCCTTAGAGGGGGGCCAACTAAGGTCCCGCATAAATGTCCGTCACTAAGGTCCTTTATTAAGGCCCCTAAATTAAGGACCCTTACTAACATCCATTACTAAGGTCCTTTACAGAGGTCCTTTACAGAGGTCCTTTACAGAGGTCCTTCAATAAGGTCCATGCCTAAGGTCCATCATGCAATCTCTCATTATGGTCTATCCCTAAGGTCCCTAAATAAGGACCCTCACTAAGGTCCCTCCCTCACTAAGGTCCCTCCCTCACTAAGGTCCTTCCCTACCTCACTAAGGTCCCTCCCTCCCTCACTAAGGTCCCTCCCTCCCTCACTAAGGTCCCTCCCTACCTCACTAAGGTCCCTCCCTCCCTCACTAAGGTCCCTCCCTCCCTCACAAAGGTCCCTCCCTCCCTCACTAAGGTCCCTCCCTACCTCAGTAAGGTCCCTCCCTCCCTCACTAAGGTCCCTCCCTCCCTCACAAAGGTCCCTCCCTCCCTCACTAAGGTCCCTCCCTCCCTCACTAAGGTCCCTCCCTCACAAAGGTCCCTCCTTCCCTCACTATAAGGTCCCTCCCTCCGTCAATAAGGTCCCTCTCTACCTCAGTAAGGTCTCTCCCTACCTCACTAAGGTCCCTCCCTACCTCACTAAGGTCCCTCGCTACCTCACTAAGGTCCTCCCTACCTCAGTAAGGTCCTCCCTACCTCCGTAAGGTCTCTCCCTACCTCACTAAGGTCCCTCCCTACCTCACTAAGGTCCCTCCCTCCCTCACAAAGGTCCCTCCTTCCCTCACTATAAGGTCCCTCCCTCCGTCACTAAGGTCCCTCTCTACCTCAGTAAGGTCTTTCCCTACCTCACTAAGGTCCCTCCCTACCTCACTAAGGTCCCTCGCTACCTCACTTAGGTCCTCCCTACCTCAGTAAGGTCTCTCCCTACCTCACTAAGATCCCTCCCTCTCTCTGAGGTCCTTTCACTAAGGACAATAAGGTCCCTAACCAATAAATAAATAAATATATATATATGTATATATATATATATATATATATATATATATATATATATATATATATATATATATATATATATATATATATATATATATATGTGTATATATATATATATATATATATATATATATATATATATATATATATATATATACATATATATACATGGCGCTAGTGGTCGTCAGTCGCAGTGTTGGGATTAGTTTAATACGGCACTATCATCTCACACTACACATTGATCGAGTTGATCGATGCTAGGGGGGGGGGGGGGTGATCGATTCTGGTCATCGCCATAAAGATTGACCATGGTGTTGTTGTGCTGAGATAGTCGGGGCCCCGACGTGTTCCTTGTGGGGGCCTTTGCGGTATGCGGATGGGATCCCGAAGAGCCTGCTGTTAGTTGGGCTAATTGGAATAACCGTAAGGGGTATTTTAACATGCACTAGTGGCTGAAGTGTTTCCCTATATTTTATGAGATAAATTAGACTAAGGTTGCTCAGATAATGTTATG